GTTGATCCAACATTAGTCATAGTTTTTCCCATAGTTATTCGTGCTTCAAGCTGTTGTAATCTTTGTTCAATAAATGGAAACATTGGTTTATTTTCTTGTTGAAAAAAATCAAGGTCAGCTACAAATTGCTGTGCATTTTCCTGAATAAATGTTAAATATATTTCAATACACCCATTGATTTGTTGGTCTGTGAAAGCTGAATTTATCTTTTCAATTATTGGAGTTGAATTTTCTTTGCCTTCTTCATTATAAAATCCACGAATATAATCCAAATTTTGATATACATGAAATGCAATAAGAAACCAAGTATTCCATCTTGTTGTATTAGATAAAGGTATATTTTTTGGATTAGATACTCCTTGACGTTGAAGATATGATATGTAACGTACTTTTCGACTTCTACTATAGACGAAAGTTTGTTTGATATTTGCAAGTAATTGATGCACAACTTATTAATACATTAAAAAGTAATTTAAAATATTTTTATTTTTTAGAGAGGCGTGGGTGTCAATTAATTATTTTCAATTTATATTAAATAAAAAATATACTAACCCAATAAGGTTTAATATGTGTGCTAAACAAGGCAGATGGACTAGTTGCGGCATGAGTGGTTTTAATACATCACGATAGCATTTCTTCATATAGGCTGCAGAATCTGATGCAATTAGTTGTGGTAGATCAAAAGAAATTCCCCATTGAACCAAAGTTTGAATTAAAAGTTGTCCAATTGTACAATTGTTAACATTTTCTAAATAATCAACATGAACTAATTTTGTTACACCATTATAGCTAAAAAGTATATTAACTACACTTCGTGCTTTACTATCTGTAGTTTCATCTATAATAATTGAAACTTGTCTGCCACGAAAATATTCTTTGAGTTGATTAACATGATCTTCAAATAATTTTGGTAAATAATCACGACGCAAAGTATCTGATTTTGGAATAAAGCCTCCTTCATTACAATTTTTACGCAACCAATTTTGAAGTTTATCTATTTTTTCTAATGGAATATCAGCTGTTACAAATGCATCTACTAAATTATTTACAGCAGTTTCAGATGCATTAAGGATAGTTTGAATAGTTGGTTGTCTTTTTTTTATTTGTTGTTCTTTTTTCTCATTTTTATTACGAATATGTGTTTTAGAACCTATATGAGCAGTAATTGTATTTTTTGTTTGAAAATTAATACTATGATCACAAAAACGGCACATAAGTTTTCCATTATCCGCAAAAAAGTCTTCAGAAAATTCTCGTGCACGCGAAAAAACAGTAACCGTTGAAGTTGGAGGCATTTTGATTAAAAAATTTTTTAAGGGATGAAAATGAAATTTAAATACGCTAATCCACACCTATGATTGGTTAATTATCACGTGTTGGAATAAAATCATTAAAATTTATGAAAATTCCATTTTATTCCATAATACAGCAAAAATTCCGATTTATTCATTTATTATAAAAATGGAATTTTCCCGGGTCTCTGGCGTGACTATGTGATGAATAAAAAGCGATCACGTGACTGTGCAAAAATTGCCGGTTCGACTGGGCTAGTTAATTATATAGCGTGTTAAACTGATGTAACAAATAATTTCAGGAGAATAAATATTTTTTTATTCTTCAACCACTTTTTCTTTCAGTAAATTCGCAGTGAAAAAATATGATATTGCTAAATGAATAAAACTCATTAAGTTGTGAAATGCCTATTAAAAAATGTTGGTACTATGCACGTTTAAGTTGATAATTTAACTATTAAATAAGATAATTCATCATTATGCCTTACTAAAAAATACTTAAATATTCAAAAATTATTTAAACATTACTAACTTAAAAGGATATACAGTACAATACGGGTATAAGGTGTGAGGCGTGACAGAAAAAAAAAATTTATTATTGGCTTAAAATGTGTATACTCTTTTAATTGTGGGTTTTTTCAACTCGAGTATTTGAGGCATCAGAATTCCACATAAAATTGTTTTTAAATATCCTTCTGAGTTCTATGATCATAATTATTTTATACTTTTTATTTATAACATTTAGCTGAAGAGTATGGGTGCGTGTAACTAGTTGTTTATTTAAGTAACGGTAAATAAATATCTGTTGGTTAAAAAAAATGGTAGCAGGATTTGTTGCCAGGTTACACATAACCACCCTAGCGTCGCCTCCAAAAATGGTAGCCGGTTCTAATTTGCCGGGTTACATATATTATTGAGAGGTGATAAATAATACGTGACATTTAGTACTTTACGTATAAAAAATTTTCTAAGTCCTCAGAATAATTATAAAATTAAAGAAACGTTAGGTGTGACATTATGTGACGAATTCCTAACCCTTAATCCCCTTACCCTAATCCTAATCCTAATCCTAATCCCCTTACCCTAATCCCAACCCTAATCCTAACCCTAACACTAAAGAACTGGCAAAATAATCCGGCTACCATTTTTTGGAGGCGACGCTATGGTCGTCGGTTACACATGATCTGTGCACATGATCCGGACGATTATTTTCGGTAATTATTATATTATTTAAATTATTATTATTCTGCTATTATTAAATTTTTATTAATATTAAGGTATTACATTTTACTCACTTTCGCTATAATAGGTTGCGTATTTTATTTGTCAATATTAATAATTATTAACTTGATTTTTCTTTAAATAGTTTTTGATCTTATACATTACAAATATCTAAATATTATTATTCCCAATACATTGTACTATTCAAGTTCTTGGACTGTTCTTGGTGTAGTTTGGCGATTTTTAATGCTATAATATCATGATTTGAATTTGATTTCAAGAAAGTCAAGTTTCCGGTGAGTATTTTCCATTCTAAATATTGACATCCTTTTAATTTAAAACTAATCATGTCACATCTTTAAGGCTTAAAATGTAAAGTTATTTACGATATCAATTCAAGAACAAGATCGATCAAATTCCCTTATTCATTGATGATTTCATGACAAAAATGCGAATTTTTCTGAGAATGATAATGAAAACATAATTTTACTTTTCAACTTGTCATTAAGTTTATTGAGATTCTTGTGAATCAAGTGTCGAAATCAATTCATACTGAGCCTGGACTATTTGAAGGGGTTTACCACGAAATCCCGACAAGCATAATCCCGATATGATAAAATCCTGAGGCACGTATTCCTAAAGAGACAATATACTGACCGATCAAAATCCCAACACAATATTATAATTTTGAGTATCTCTTTGATTTTTGTTTACTAGGAAGATCATTTCCTACTGATTATATTATTTGCGACAATTAATACAATCATATATACAATACATATGCACTATTTCCAATTTAAATGATAAAAAATTGCAATTTTGATTTATGACTTACATGTTACAGTATAATATATAGTGAGATCACGCAGTAGTAATTGACATAATAACTCCTTGGCAAATTATGCAAATTATTAACAATTGTGCAATCACTACGATTTATTACATAAATGGTCACATGAAAAAATTCTTTTCTTTATTGTGTCGGGATTTTGACTCATCAGTAACTTGAACTTTCGGGAATTTTGAATTCCAGATTTTGGACTATTCGGGATATAATTCTTTCAGTATTTTAATCATTCGGGATATTGTCTTAGTCAGGAATAGGAGTGTCAAGATTTTATCACATCGGGATTATGGTTGTCGGGATTTCGGGAGGATCCCATTTGAAGGATCGTTGAACGCTTTTAAGTATATTTAATTTTTAAGTTTTGAGTTTATTTAAAGTATACAATTTTATTTTAAGTATATATATATTTTTTTCACAGGAATAATTTTATATACCGTTAGTATAGATGAACTAACCTTTTTTAGGTATTTTTTAAAAGGAAATCACGTACCATTTTTTCTTCTTCTTACAAAAGTAAATTATTAAAATTGTAATTAGTAAATTTATAGTTATAATGATTAATTTTAATTTTGAAAAAAATAAAATCATTATCTTTGATTTGAACAATATCGATATAGATAAATAAATTGTTTAAGTGTAAAAAAAATGTCAAATGGATCCTATCAAAAAAAACTATTACATCCATTTTATCGTGAGCTTTAGGATGTAGCGTCTGGATTAAAATTGTGTATGTGAAACATTCATGTTTCATTATCTGTTATTTATTATTCAACATATCAAAATTGCAACATACCGATAATCGTGCAATTCTGCTATGACAATAAGGCTTTTAGCACCCCGATATTTTTTGGGATCTTACAATATACTAAGAATTATAAAAATGATGAAAATATAGAAATCAATAATATCAAATTAAGAAATCTTCGATAATGATTAAATACTTTTTTTTCGTAATCTAATCCACGAAAGAGCTTTTTTAAAATTCTAAGAGAGTTGATACAAAATTATTTTGTCTCTGATTTTAATAGTAATATTAAAATCACGAGATAAAAATCATTAACTTTTTGCAAGGAACATTTTGTGAATCAGGAGAAATATTTTTTTTTTTAAATTCAAGTGCTTTGTAGCTCAACGCCTCAGCGTTTTATAGTTAAATCGGTAAATCTTCGATTTTGTAAAATGTTATTTCTTGTACCGTTAATGTTAACGTCGGATGAGTTGAAATTCGTCATTGCATATTTTGAAGTCATTTTTATGCAACGTCTAATAAAGGAAAAGGATTTAGATATATGGTGTTTTACCAGTTCAGTACGACTTTTGAGAATAGAATAAAAATTTCCCCTAATTATTATTTATTTCACAATGAAAGTTTTTCACTGAAAAATTATCGTCCTTTATCTACTAAAAACTTCTAAGAATGCAACTTACTTCATTTAACAAGTTCGTTAAGAATTTTATATTTGATATTAATTTATAAAATATTTTAATATTAGTTATAATCATTTAAAACACAAATTATGTTTCGTAAAAATAAATTTAAGTGATATTTATTATGAATATATATAAAAACAAATACAACAAAATCTTATATAAATAGTTAAATATTGACTTCTATTGATAACCGTGAGTCTATAATTAGTTTATCTAGTTTTAATACGTTTTTCTACTTTAAATATTTTAGAATTGGTTAAAATAAAAAATATATATATAAAAAATGAAAATAAACACCATAAAAGCCAAATAAATATTTACCATTATCGTCATCGGTTTCAAAATTTAATTCTTCAATGTTTCGCTTTAAAGAATTTTGAGTTTTTATACTTAAATTTTGTGATGATAGACTAAATGACAATTTGATGTCAATTAATTAGTATACAGTGTAATAATACCACTTAAAATATAATTGAAATACCTTTCAGTATCTATATCAAGCTCTAATTCTTCTGAGATATAATTAGAATCTAAAGTATATAACAAAAATCTTATGAATTATAGTAGGATATTATTTAAATTATAATTATCTTTATTTTTAGTAATACCTTGTTTATTTCCATATGAAATTGTTGAAAATGAATTAGTGGATGAACATTTTGAAATTATATCACTTAATAGTCTACTTGTATAAATTGCCTCCGAGTGATATTTTTCAGCAAATTCAGGTCCAATCTTCTTTAATTCTATCAGTTTCTTTCGTTTTGCTTCAGCTTGTTCAAATTCTGCTTTGTTTTTACCTCTAAAAGCCCAACTACCAAATGTATTACGAATCACTTTTATAGAAGGTCTTTTTTTTGGATCATGATCCCAACAACTTTTCATTAAATTAGCATAACATTCTGGAGTGTCTTCTGTAATTTCAGGTCGTTCTCCATCAAGAATTTTATAAACAAGACTATGATCATGTTTAACATTAGAAAAAGGTTTACAACCTGTTGTAAGTTCCCACATAATCATACCCAAACTATAAACATCAGCTTCTTTAAAAAATGCTGACCCTTTAAATATTTCTGGTGCAATATAAGGTATAACTCCATATATTTCATTATTTGATGATTTATTATCTACAGAATGTGATAATCCTAGATCACCAATTTTCCATTGATAATTTTTGCCTGTACGACTACTATTTAAATCGAATAATATATTTCCGCTATGAAAATCTCGATGTATAAATTTATTATAATGGATATGTTCAAGTCTAAATTAAAAAAAATTAATAATTTAAATTTGTGAATATAATGAATATGTTTAAAATATAATTACCCTTCTGAAATTTGCCATAATATACGTAGTTTTTGATTATTCCATGTAATATTTTTAAAGCTCTTTTGTAAGTATTTATGTAAATCTCCTTCTGACGCATATTTCATAACTAATATATAATCTTCTGATTCAGGATCCCTTGTAAAACCATAAATTTTGATTATATGACCACGAAGTGATTCGTCAATGCAATATCGATATGATTCTAACTATAAAATTTAAAGATTTTAATTAAAGATTAATTTTAACAAAAAATTATTCAATGAATATTTAAAATATTTACCTCATTCAAGAAATATTTTCTACTATTTTTAGAATTTTCAAATCTTTTTAAAATGACAGTTTCATTATTACTCAACCAAGTTGCTTTATGTATAATACCATAACCTCCTTTTGTCATTTCTTTTACATTTTCAAATTGAAAATACGGTGTCCAATTAATTGGTGGTTTACTTTTTCGTGTTTTAAATAGAGTATTTAAACTATCGTTTATATTAAAAATTTCACCAATATTTTTTACAATATTTACAGTGTCAGATAACTCAAAGTTACCGTGTAAAACATTATTAAGAAGAAAAACATCAATATCGCTGTATTCTCTACTATTTATGATAAGTGATATTCTTTTACATTTTTTACATTTAGATTCAAGTATAGGTCCAAAAATAATGTTTGTTGTTAAACAATATCTGCATCCAACATAAAATATACAACAATTCGCACAATACTTTTGACAATCTGATGTAAATATTAACTTTGAATTACATGCGTCACAATAAGGACCATTATGCCACCATGGTAAGTAAAGAATCAAAATTCGCTTTTTAACCCAAGTTGATTCTATCCATTCAGAAGAAACTAGATAACAATCCGAACATAATGCAAGAATTACTGATACTTCATATTTGAGTGATAACGACTTTCCACATAATTTACAATCTTGTTTACTTCCAACCACCTTTTCAACCACTTTATCATTATCAATACCATAATTACTTCGAATATATCCATATATTTGTCTAAAGCATAAAATTCTCTCACAATTTCCACAGAATTCTTGAATATTTTGTGATACTTTTGTCCTATTTATTTCATGATTACTACATTCCAAGTCCATTGTGTAAATATATACGTCCAAGTATGTATTACTATTATCAGTTATATCATTAATATAACGCGATAAACATTTTTTGCAATAATTTTGCCAAAAACAAAGAAGTGTCTCAATATATTCTTCTCCACAATTAAAACACTTTTCATCACCTCTATTAAAAGAAAGAAATTTAATTGGTATAGGACTAGATTTTAATCTTGGCGTCGGGTCAAATGAATTTTCATCATTCGTATTCACCAATTCCATTTTATCATGTTAATTATTAGTATATGTTATTAAACAAGTATCAAAAATGATAATGAATTTGAAAAAATTTAAACGTATTTTATTTATATCTGAAATCTGAATGATACACTATTAAGAGTTTGATAAAGATGGAACTTTCTGTTAATGATACGATAGTATTTCTATATTTCCTCATGGAATTTTTAATAACGGAAAAATCCGTTTTAAATTTAAAAGTTCTTTAACGAAGAGCTAATGCATAACAATACTGTATGTAATGGCTTTATTATTTTTTACTTATTTAGTTAAGACGCATATGATCAACTAGAGAAAGTATTTTTTTTTTTGAGGTGTGGGCGTAATTACTAAAATTTCGTCATAGAAAATAATGAAATGAAACCAGACCAAGAAAGGAAACAAATAAAATGTGAACAACAATAACGATCTAACCTTTCTTTCACTTGTTACACAATCACCTGATTGCTGCTCTGATCACATGATTGTTGCGGTTTCACATGATTAGTTAATTACTGAAAGTAAGCTTGTGCTATACTTATAAGTGTTGTCAAATGACACTGAAATGAAATTGAAATGACATCAAATGATATTAAATGACATCGATTTTACTATAAAAAAGTATGATAAATGACAAATGTCATTTAATTTAACAACACGCTTAAGCTTATTAAGCTAAGCAGATTTGAAAGCAACTTATTACCCTAACTTTTACAAAACCTGTGTCATCAAATATAACCATTGAATATATGGATCATATACATGTATTTTTTGCTTTTAAAATTTTGTTGATCGATTGTTATTTTTTTTTTTTTAAAAAAAAAAAAAAAAATTT